TTTTATTTTCAAGGTGTACTAGAATATATTTGCATGTCTTCATGTTCCAAAAACACATGATCTTTGTCAGACTGTACATTGCTGCAGCATCTCATCTCATCCTTGGCCAGAAACGCTCTGTTTTAGTTCCTGTTTCCTTAAGATTTCTCTCCCAAAAGTGTACTCTGATTGCTCAGCTGGCTCAACAAACGAAAGACAACATGCATTAGTCATGTACCACTACTTCAGATTTCTGAATGCAAGCAGAGAGGTGTAGTCCCTACAGAAGCAGCTCTCGTAATGAAGCAAATGAGGAAACTACTCCTTCTTTGTTTGAGGGCCAGACGAGCTGCTAGGCAGGATTTAGGCAAATGTGTCACACGGTGATGTCGATAAATAATGGAAGAAAAGCCTGGACTTCAATTTAGGTGTTTGAGGCGGTCGCCGTCTAGATACCATCTATTTTTAATTTGCATCTAAAGGCAGAATCTACGACAAGTGGACAGATGGTCGCTCCCGCAGCACTTGTACGCTGCTGACAAATCACCTCTGGGGTCAGTTCGATCTTTACAAAGTCACACATGCCGAACACAGATATCGCTCTTCTGCAATTCACTCTCAGCAGCACGTATTCGTAGAAAAATGAAATTGCCTTGTTGTTGTTAACATCCCCTGACAGACACACACACACAACCTTCAATTACAAACAGTCAAACAACAGTCACTTGTGGATAATTAAGCTTGAAGTCCATCTACTTGTTTCGAAATTGCTCCAATTATACGAAGAACTTGGTCTGACTTTGCTGCTTTGTTCTCATTACTTACACATGAGGGACACGGAGCTGCCAGTTGGCATAAAGATGCGTTCGCTGACAACAGCCGTATTGTACAGAGACCAGTGATACAAACGTTAAATCAGTGGGCTGGAGAAACTCTGTGTTCCACACTAATGCCAAATAGACTACAAAAGGCAGCATTTTCTGAAGGCAACTGATTTTTCAATTTAACTGTGAGTACTGGGGGAAGATAAACTTAAAGCACCAAGGAGCTGAAATGTCTGCTAATGATAAATTGACCGACGAGTTATTTTTAATTATGTTTATCAATATTTTACTTTAGAATGTACCCAATGCAATACCGTGCAGTTGTCTGCAGGACAGAGATCTGTCATGTCTGTCAAGTTTCTGTTCATGTCTGCACATTATGTCTCGTCTTTCCTGTTTTATTTTGAAATCATTTCACTGGGTGTTCTGTTCTAGTTTTACTTCCTGTACCTGTCTTGTCTCACCTGTTCCCTGATTACCTCCCCGCACCTGTTTCCCATTTACCCCCATTACCTCATGTATTTTACCCTGTGTGTCTCACTGTCTTGTCGCCAGTTCGTTGCACTTCACAGTCCTCGTACCAGCGTTTATTCAAGTTAAGTCACAGTCTGTTTGATCTCGACCTTGCTTCTGCTTTTTGGACCTTGCCTCTGCCCGCTGATTCTTGGATACTTCTGCCTGTTGGACTGACTTCCTGTGTACCAAACCCTGACTGCCATTAAACCTGTCTTTTGCTTGAACCTACTCTGAGTCAAGCATTTGTGTCCACCTGTTCTGTTAGTGAATTCATGACAAGATCACATTTCCAGAATAACGCATGCCGAGAAAGGACGTCTGTGAAATAGATAAAAGATGCGTTTCCACATTTTAATTGTTACCGATTTAACAAAGGCAGGATGAAAAATGTCTGCGCCTGAAATCAAGCACTTGTTCCCGCTTTCCCTACTCCCTACTCCATNGCAAAAAGGTCATAAGAAGAATGAGTCGTGAAAATACTTTTTTTATTCGACACAAAGTGTGTTTTATACATGATATCATTTTAGCCAACAGGTTGAACCAGCATGAAAACACCCTATAATCCCTAAACACCTGCTATGAAAATGAAAACTCTGCAGTTATAACGCTGATATCCTGCAGAGGTGGGACAAATGTTAAAGCTGCAGCAGCTGTTAGATTTTTTTTTTTTGCTTGTGCTGATGACATTATGACAAAATCTAATTTCTCTGTTTTGCACCATCTGCCAGAAATCAATCGTTGCACAAAATCATGAAGGATGTCACAAATCCTAAAATGCATCTCGAGGGTTGAGGAGGCTTGGTGGAGAAGCTGCAAGGTATCAAGTGTGTCCTTGATTAAGTCTTTTCCGTACCTGTGACATAAAACAGGTGTGACACACAGCTGGAATATACAAACCATGTCTGGTGCAAGAATAGCAAATGTGTGTCACTCAATCATGACACTGTCACTCTTTATTTGTGTAGTACTGCTTTGCATGTCACACCTCTTTTATTCACAGCATGTGTGTGTTGAATAGAAAAATAAGTCACTTTATTCTGCTTTATTCATTGACTTTAAGTAAATATTAAGTCTAATCAAATCAAATGTATTTGTTAGATGCACAGTTGGACATGGTGCAGTGCATCATAAAACTTGTTTTGTACCTGGTCTGACTTGTTCACACAAAAACAAGGTACAGTGCAAAGGATTTACATTTTTAAATATAAAGCGGCTACACAATAGGATCACTATTGTGAGTTATCATGAACACTGTTCTGCTCATGTGACGAAGATCACAAACTAGGCTGCAACAAAACAACAGACAGACGATGCAGCTGAGTTGAGGATGTATAAAGTGAGAAATGAGAGAACGAGCATGTCTGTTACCACCTTGAAATTACTTAAATAGCGCGATTACGCAGGTGACAAGACAAAGACAAGAACTAGCCGTTGGCACGTCGGTTCTGGCCGTAGCCAGACACTCGAATGTCCACAACTCCATGAACAAATTATCACAAACTGCATGGTGCTGATCCGCCACGTGGTGCTCTGGATGTCCAACATCCTGTCCCCTAAAATGTCAGCCAGCTTCTCCAAGGCCTTCAGGAGGCGCTAACTCTCTGCGTCACAGATGTGTAGCGCAACATTGACTTGTGATATCTGGTATATGGTGTAGTTGGTTGTTTCAGCACATTGCATCTCTACAACAGAACAGGCGTTATGAACCAATCATCAGCCAATACTTATTCTCCTATGTTAAAATAAATAAAGAATGCTACATGCTGCTTTATATTTTTAAGTATATGCATATAGTAAACCATACAGGTGTAGAGTCTTGTCAAATGATACTACGCAGAATTAAAAGTAAATACATAAGCTGCCATGAACACTTTTGTACTCATCTGATAGAGATCCTAAAATACAGATTGTAACAAAGCAACTGACAGAACTTTACCACATCATATTTAATTGACATTGTTTTAAAACGACAGCTCTAAAGCAATGGACTCATTTTGTTAAATGCCTGTTGCTTCGACTCATCCTGTCGCTTCCTCACCTTCTCCACTTGCATCTTAGGTGGGAGGAACTAGGAGCAGTGAAGGAATCAAGGATATGCAAACTTTATATTCTATAAAAACATTCAGACTTTTCTATGTGGTTGAATTTGTTAGAAGGTGACAGCTCACATGACAGTTTGTGCGTTGCACTGCTGAAAACTAAAATAAGAGACTTAAAATAACAAGGAAAGAAACACAAGTAGAAACGGAGAATAGGATCGATGGAGAAGGAAAGATAAGAGACTAAAACTGGAAATGTGGAAGCAGTTAATTAGAGCCAGAAGAGCATAAAGAAACTGTTTCTTTTCACTCATCTTGACGAACTCTGATAAACTCAGTAAAAAAAGAAAAAACAAAAAAAAAACTCCAACAACTGCCTACACCGACACTAAATGCCAGGGCAATTATAGCAGCTAAAGTATTTTTGCAGCATCACGTGCAAACTAACCTTTACTTTAAGTGGCGTCCTGATTTTGTTGAAATCCGATCGTACAAACTTTCTCTTTATGTAAGGAAACGCCATCGCTGCTTCCAATTTATCTATAAAACTCATAAAAAATCATGATATCAAACTTTTCTGTCACACTGTCATCTGGAGATTCTCAAGCTTGCTCTGCAGACAGGTTCTAGTGGTAAATATCCATCCATCCATTATCTATACACCGCTTAATCCTCACTAGGGTCACGGGGGGCTGGAGCTTATACCAGCTGACTTAGGGCGAAGGCAGGGGACACCCTGGACAGGTCTGTGGCTCAGGTGGTAGAGCGAGTCGGTCTGATGATTGGAAGGTCGGCGGTTCGATTCCGCCCTGTAACCTGTTTCATGGTCGTTGTGTCCTT